TGCCACAGAAGGCGGAGCCCAGGTGACGGTTCTAATTCTTTGTTCAGCAGGGGGAAAAACTAAAACGGGCCCCATTCCTCTTCCTGCAATGCCATGGAAGGCCCTCGTTATGAGTTTGGCCAGGGGAGAACGCTGACTTAATAAGCTGCAGCCCAGGGGCCATCTGCAGGAGCCCCTTCCAGCCCCTAAGTGGCACCAGTGGCTGTTTCCAGACAGGTCTATGAAATGTTCAGTCCCACCGATGTGCCCTGCAGCTGGGAGCGATACCAAGTGAGTTGAGGATCCAGTCCAGAAGATGACTACCCGGAAGAGAAGTCACGTGTGTGACAACACTGAGCAGAAACGAGGGTGAAGGCCCACCCCGAGCTGCACCACACTGTACCCGCACACGGCCCTCGGGCCGGGAGTGTCTGCGTGGCTCTCGCCACACGTGTGTCTCGCCACACAGACACGCAACAGCACTGGGCTCTAACCTGCAGAGAAGACAGACAACTGTGCCCCCGCATTTATGGGAGGCACAAGCGAAGGCACTGAATAGTGAGGCTTTGATCTTCCAGTCACCCTAGATTAGAATCTTGCCCGAGGTTAAAAAAAACAACAACAAAAAGTTTCTGCTTAGAAAAACGTCCCTCTCGGAAACTGTGTCCTAGGTGATGCTTCCAGATGAATGTCGGCGTCAGCGCCTTGGCGCAGGGGTACAGTGGCCGTGCAAACTGCAGCAGGAAGAACTTGGAAAACAGCACCGCCCTGCGTGGCATCGGCTTTCCCGCGTGCAGGGTGCCCCCTCACTCACCATCTTTCTTACTCCTCATGCCAGCCGGCCGTGTGAGATAAGCAAACGCTTTGCAGGGGGAAAAAAGTTGGTTTGATCCACAGCGACTGCCATTGTACCTTTTAACTCTGCTCTCGCCAAAGATGCACTCCTCAGCCAGGGAGAATTAGCCCTAGTGCTTTTCTCTCAACGGAGGAAAAGCAGCAAAAGTGACGCCGATATAATGTGCTGCCCAAAGACCTCCGGAACCAGGCCCCACACGCAGGAAATTTCCGTCTAATCATGAATCCTGCTTGGTAACTCCTACGCATCTTGAAGATCTCAGCTCCAGTTCACGTCCTCCAGGAAGCCTTCTCTAACTTCCTAAATGCTCAGTCAGAACCCTCTGTGTTTTCTCTTCGTGACACTTTGCATTACATGTGACTCCGGTTTCCACAGAGACAAGGGTCATATTCTTTCTCACTGGAATCCATCTACCCAGCACCTAAGTCCTCAGGGTAATTTATAACTACTTGTTGAAATGCACTAAAACATTTGGTATCCTACTAGTTTCCTTTTATGCAATGAACAGAACTACCATAAAGTGAAAAGTTAAAACAAAAGGATGGTTGTAATACAGATCTAACAGAGCTGACAGTGAACCAGATACACTCACTCCTCAAATAGGGTTACAGTTAGTTCCCAGCCATTGGCTGGGAAGGAAAAACAAGCGAGGGAGGGAGGGAGGACCCACAGTAGCAATCCTCATCTTCATCTAACTATTTCCAATAACCCTAACTGTATTTCCAACAATATGAAAGTGAGCCTCAATGCTGTGAGAACATTAGTGGCCCTGGGCGTCAGAGCTGTGCAGACTGTGCGTGACTGGAGACTCTGAATTCCTCAGGTGCCAGGGGCTCGTGGCAGCAGTAATTCCAGAGCTGGGCCTTGGGCCAGCTTTTCAGGAACCAGGTGAAATCAGGAACATGAAGAGGTCGCCACTTTTTTGTACAAATTCACAGCTCTTTGAAGGAAACACTTCAGTGCAGGGACCTCGTTTTCTCTCGAGATCTCTCTCAGCAGGCCCCGAACACTGGCCCTTCCCAACCACCAGCTTCGTAACAAGGGACTTTTCACATTACCCACACGATCGATCACCTTGCTTGCAAAGAATGAAATTTTAAAAAGCAAACTGAAATAGAGGAGCACGAGGTGACGCAGGGGACAGAACCATCACTCGCGGCCTCGTCCACCCTGACACACCAGCTGGTTGTCTTCCTGGAAGCTCACTCCCTTCCCCAGCGCACGCAAACCCCAGTAGGGAGTGCATTTGGGAGATCGGTGTCCTGACCAGCTGGCTCAGTTGGTTAGGCCTCATCCTGCAGAGTGAAAGGTCACTGGTTCAATTCCTAGTTGGGGTGCATGCCTGGGCTGTAGGTTCAGATCCCAGTTAGGGCGCATTTATCTGACACTGACGTTTCTTTCCTTCTCTTTTTCCCCTCCCTTCCCCTCTCCCTGAAAATAATAAATAAAATCCTTTTTAAAAGGAAAGGAAAAAGGCAGTGGAGCTTGGACTTTTCTGAAGACTAAGACCCAAGTCCCTCAATCCCTGTAGAGTGCTCTCAGAGAAGCATCTTTTATTGATAAGGCATTGGAAGACATGGGGGATTTTTACCTAAAAATCATCATTGACTTTGACCGGCTCCCTTAAGAGAGCACCACCCCTGCAGGAAAAACATCTGAAGTGTCTGCCATTGTGCAGAGACAATGAAGACACCATTTCCAATTCAGATGAAAGGGCTGGGGTCCGAGAGTGCTGCCTCCCACCTACCACTGTACAACTAGAAGGTTCTAGGTTTCCGCGAGACATTCTGTTTGCTGCTCCTGAATGCCTAGAATTTAAGAAAATGTTGTGGCACTTGAAAATCAGAAAGGCCTCCACCGCAGCAGCCCCTAGAACTCCACTTCAAAGGAATGGAGCTGCACCCTTTTATTAATTAAGAGTTTAATTAATCCCACGTGCCCATACAGGGGGTGAAGTGAGGGGAGGGTGCAAACGCCGCCAGGTCTGGGCCACTCAAGGTCGAGGCCTATTAAAGGTGAGGCCGCTCGTTCAGAAAGATACAAACAGACCAACCCGGTTAACAGAACTCCCTCCCAAAACAAAGCCAAAACTCCGACCTAGCCCTTGTGCTTGTGTTGTGTGTGTGTGTGTGTAAGCATTTTGAAATTCCAATGCTCACTTTTCTTGGAAAGGGGAAGAAGGAAGGGGCTTTTGGAGTTCAACTGCTGCCGAGTGCTACACCTTGGCCAAACCTGAGAATCTCAACTGTTTGGAAACTGGTAAGATTAAAAAGGGTCTGTCCTCTACCCCTCCATTCTCACCTTGTAAAATTAAAGGGAAAATTTTGCCCCCCAAAGAAAAAGAAACCAAAAACCACTAAACAGAAAACAAAAAACAAAAAAACCCCAAAACTTTGCAGTTATACTATCTATCTCAGCCCACTCCCCTCTCCCTGCCCCATGCCCCCAGTCCCCATACAAAGCTTTCTTGCACACTTAATAGTATAACAGAACTAACAAGAAAACAAGCAGTGATTCACACCAGACAAGTGCACACTTTAAAGACTTAAAATACTTCCCTTTCCTGTGTTCCTTTGGAGAGGATCATCCTTGATGGGGAGGGGATCCTCCCAAACTGGGGTCTCTGGAGCTCTTCTTCTCCTCTCGTCCCAGGGGGTTCTCTCACCAACTGCAGTGAGCAGTTAGGAGCGAGGTGACCCTGCGCTGGGTCACCCGCCCTGTCGGTTTTTCCCACGCAACAGAACCTGTGAACAGAAACACAGGCAGGTGGTTCCCCCTACGTAACTCAGTATAATCGCTGAAATGGAATGCTAAATGAACATCATCAAAAACAATGACAGAGCATTCTGACACTCTCATTTCTCCTGAGTCCCAGCTACACCCAGGGAGACCTGCTTTCAGATGAACTGCCTAGTAGCGGCAATCGAAAAGGCTTTGAACAGGCAGTTTAATTGACAGGCGGCAATGTGCTCACAGGAAGGGTGGAGAGGCCGAGCTGGACTGCAGGGACCCAGCCCTGCCACCCACTCACGGAGGGGGAGGGGCTGGGGCAAGCTGCCCACCCCAAAGCACATCTGTTTCCTCACCTGCAAAATGGGGGTGATGGGGAGGAAATGAGTCAACACATACTAAGCTTTTTCGAATAATGCCTTGCACACAGTAAGCACTTTGAGAATCAAAAAGAGACTTTCCCTTTTCTTTCAAAAATATGAAACTCCTAACTAGGATCATCTAACAGAGTTCCAAACAGAATACAACTCTTGAGAACTGATTTTGTAACATATGGATATTTATTTATATAAATTACCAATCAGTGCCGAATTCTGAAGAGAAGCCTAGGGCAGGAAGCTAAATCCCTTTAAAGAATAAAAATTTCAAACCATCCCCCTGCATTTTGGATAATGACCACGGCCGACCTCCCCAGTTAGATTCTGCTGGATATTTCAGTGAAAAGGGAACATTACACACAGCCATCATTTTCTATCACAGTATTTCACTTGTGAGGCCGCTATAGTACTGGAAATGTTTCCCCCTGCAGCCGTGCTATTTCATCGGTGCCACTAGGGGGCAGCGCAGCAGTAAAAACACTGGCCTACAGGAGGCTTGCAGGCCTCGGACCTGGGGGCAGGGTGCCCAGTGGTGCACAGGGGGTTGGGGTGGTTAGTAAACCCAGTCAGTCACCCCAGTTGACCACCAAACACTCCTCACCCATGTGTGACCATTCACATTGGCTAAGAAAATACAAATACTTTTTATGTTGAAAGTGTCTGTTTCAAGGACCTCAGGGGTAAAGATGGGGAGGTGGGGTAGGAGATTTCTAAGGAACCTACTACAATGTTCTATTTCAGTGGCAGCCACGGGGTGTCACTTCCTAATTCTTTAAACTATTCACATGCTCTATACACTTTGAACGTACGCATATCTCACAACCAAAACAACTGCTTTAGCAATGGACTGTGCGGGCACTAACTCTCAGCTAGGGCTGTTTTCCCCAAAGGATAAGGCAAAAGAAAAACGACGTGCGAAGAACAAATGTGTCCCACTCAAACCTAGTGAGACTGTCACAGTCCCGCACGTGTCCCCAGGTATCTGCAGAAGTTTACCCCACCCCTGTACCTTCGTTTACCTGGTGCAGCAGCATAAATAAAAACACGTGAACAGCAACTAACAACATCAACTTTTAATAATGGAAATGAACTGCCATTCCAAAAACAGTTTTAGGGATGAAAAATCTTCCCTATAAAAATAAACTTAAACTCATCACAATTATAAATATTATAACTTTTTACGCCTGCAATTTAAGATGCTCCCCTGCAATACTTACCCCTTCATTTAACATCATTCCTGTACCATCACATAGTGAAGAGAAAACAGTATCACAGCAAAGCTTAGTTTAATTTAACATAAGAATTTGCATAATGATTTTTAAACGTCCGTGGCCTCGGGGGCCCTTCTTCTTTCATACATTAATAACGTCATTGCAGTGACCAGTGTTTGGGAGACAGCATCATCTTCCACCACGAGCTGACAGGACCTGGACACAGGAAGTCTTCCGAATTGAAGCTTGTAGCACACACGACAGTTAACAGGCTTCTGGATGGCACGGTGAGGATGCCGATTTCAGACAAGCTACTTCAAGTTAAAAAAAAAAATTCACAGATACCCACCAGCTACTACATTAGGTTCTAACAGTGTCTTATCTTAATCTGAGAAAGAAATGCTTCACAAAATATAAGCTTGCTGGGATGGGCATGGCAATTTAAGGCCAGGTGGCTGATAACACTATACTCAAACCCAGGCTACGGTCTGAAGAGTAAACCAGGGTGGAAACCATAAAGCCATTATTCCCTGAATAACAGTGTGTTGGGTGACAATGACACTAAAACCTCACCAATGGACTAACAAGAAGTCACATGCAAAATTAAACAAGAGGTGCCATACATATTTTATAGGTAGTTCTACTTTCCTTTTTTTCCAACTTTCTTTAAAAGCTTAGGAAAGATATGATTGTCTCAGTAGCGTGCGGCAGACAGAGCAGCACCGACACATCTGCCTCCACCACGGTGGGCGTTCCCTGACCCTGAGAAGAGCCCCCAGGAGGGAAACGAAAATGCAATAAAAGGCACAGTTCATTTAAAAGGCAAAGAACTGAAGCACCTTGGAATTTCACAAAGAATCCATTAGGTGTCACCAAAGCATTAACAATTCCTTGGGAATTTATAAACAAAAAACCTAGACAAAAAAAAAAAAAAAGACTAAATCCCCCTCCAGAACCACAGCACCCCCTTCCCACTGTTTTCAGATTAATTACTGCACAAAATGAATTTATTTAACCTGCTGTAAGGAAGGCTTCTATTGCACATGCATTTCTTTGGTTGGTGGGAACATGCACTTTTGTTAAAATGTTCCCATAGAGAGCCCCCCCTGCGGTCAGTGCGGGGGGTGGACTTTCCTCCCCATCTTTCTGCCCTCCTCTGGAACTCAGGACCTGACTGAGTGAGGTCTTTCATCCACACCCCTGGTCTCTGCTCTGCGGGAACACGCTCCAACTTCTAAGAGTAAGGGAGACGGAAAAGAAGACAGAGGGAGAGGGGAGGTGAAGGAACAAGGGAAACGGAGGGAGAGATTGTCACAAGCGTGTGCCATGAGCTCTTTACCTGACAAATCCCCTGGCTGACACTCAGGGAGAAACAAGTACCCCTACCCAGACTCCTTTTCGGCTTTGAAAACAATCTCAGGAAAGAGCTATAACTTAACAGGAGGCAGCAAACAGTCCCTGCTCCACTCGCCCAGAAAACCTGCACCAACCGACCTCCCACTGGAGGAAGGCGGAACCGGGTGGTGCACCAGGGGCTGCAGGCCCCGCCCGGCTCTGTGAGGCCCCCGCCTGAAAGCTGCCCTTCCCACGCCTGCACTCACAAGCCCCTGTTTTTGGTCTAGCTCCCACTCTCTCTGGCTCTGTTCCCAATTTTACTCACCAAGAAATCGAGCAATCCTACAATGGGCTCAATACCTCAAAACTGAATGCGTTTAACTCCTTCACAAATACACCTTCTCTTCTCCACCAGCTACTCGTCACCCAAACCGCCCTCCCTCAGCGCTCCCCCAACCTCCACTCACGCCTTCTTCCAAACTTGCTCTTTGCCTTCTTGAAATGTCAAGCTCCTCCAAAATCCTTCACAAAGTCCTCAGAGTTCCTAGCTTCCTGTGCCTTTCAATTCACAAGGCTGTTCCCTCTGATATATTTTTTTAAAAAAAACAGGTAGTTTCAACATAACACAAGTATTCAAATTCCTTGTTAAGCTTTGAAAAAAATCATGTGCGCATCCTTAAGCTTAACCTCATCCTCGCAAAATTAAAATAACTAGAAGAAAATGAGAAAACAAAAACCCAGAGTCCATGCTTCAAAGCACTGTAGCCGCTCCCGATTCACAGCTTGCCCGGAGGCAAGGCCGCAGCGCTGTGACCACGAGCCTGCACAGTCCCTCCCAGAGGCCGCGTGCCCAGGTAGGGGAACTAAATCTAGAGATAAAGGGGGAAGAGCCTCGCATCACAAGAAAAGCCCTCTGGGAAGAGAGGCTCGCAGCTGGTGTGTCCGCGGTCCCTGGGCCGCCCAGAGCGGCCGGAGCCCTTAGTCGGGCTTCCACACCTCCCCGAGGGCTTCTTCCAGCCTCTGCCTGTAGGCGGCGTAGCGCTTCTTCAGGTTCTGCAGCTGCTCGTCTTCTTCCTTGTCCAAGATACGCAAGAAATTCTGCAGTTCTGGAAGGCTGAAGGCTTCCCACTAGGAGGAGGAAAAAAAGAAAAATGGTGTTCAGCCTTCGAGACTCAGGAATGCTGACCACGAGCACACTCAGTGCGGCTGGGGCTCCCCGCCCGGCCGCACCACCAGCCCAGCCGCACCACCAGCCCTGCCGCCCCCGCCCCCAAGCTGGCCTTCCAGGCCCTCCATCCTTGGCAGATGGTTCCCACAAGCCCGGAAACGATCACCCCTGACTTGACCCCCAGAAGCCCTCCGTCTCTTCCCTCCACTTGGAGTTGTCATTTTCACTGCTTCTTCCTCACTTCCCACAATCCATTTAATCATGTCCATTTTAAACAGTTCCCCAGTCTGCCTGCTCTCGTCCATCTCAGCCACCCCCTGGTGCTGGCCGCCATCATCTTCTCCCACCCTGGACACCCTCCTACCTGGCGTCCTCACTCCACTCCATACTCCCCAATCCGTTCCCCAAACAGCCAGCCTGAGCACAGAAGTACCCGCCATCCACAATTTCCCTTCCATGGTTTCAGCTACTCATGTCAACCATGGCCCAAAAACATTAGTTGGAAAATTCCAGAGACGACCAATTCGTAAGTTTTAAATTGCATGTCACTGTGAGTAGTGTGAAGACATCTCGAGCCATCCACCCCACCCGGACACGAATCCCGCCTTTGCCCAGAGTCACCATGCTGTGCACGCTCCCCACACATCGGTCACTTAGTAGTGTCCAGGCCACCGGACGGAGCGCCCCACTATTGCAGTGCCGGTGCTCACGCAACCCTTGCTTTACTTTAAAGCACAAGAGCAGTGATGCTGACAATTCAGATACAGCCAAGAGAAGCAGTAAAGTGCTTCCTGTAAGTGAAGAGAGTTTGGTACTATCTGTGATTTTAGTCACCTATTGAGGGTCTTAAATCGAATCCACCATGGATAAGGGCGGATGACCTTCCCATGCTGACAATCATTCAGTAGCTTCCCTTGGTTGTTTCTGTGAAGTGTAAGAGAAGACCCTGAACTAACCTCTCTTCGCTGTCCCCCTCACTCACTGCCCTAAGTGGTTTTGCACATGTTCACCCCTCCTCCACTCTGCCTGGAGAACTCGTACTCAACTGCCAAGTTTCAGCTCAAATGCCACTTTCTCTAAGAAGTCTTCCATGATTTCTTCCCCTCCCTTTCCACCCAGGACTAAGTCTATTAAAAAGCTCTCACTTGAGCACTGGTAAACTTGATTTTAAAAGATATAAAGCCTTGGCTGATGTGGCTGGCATAGGGGACTGAGTGCTGGCCTGTGAACCAAAGGGACACCGGTTTGATTCCCAGTCAGGGCACATGCCTGGGTTGTGGGCCAGGTCCCCAGTAGGGAACATGCAAGAGGCAACTAATCACACACCAATGTTTCTCTCCTTCTCTTTCTCCCTTCCTAACCCTCTTTCTAAAAATAAATAAATAAAATCTTTTTTTAAAAGATATAAAAAGTATTATAATTGTTTATCAAGTATCTCTCTCACCTACATTGTAGCTATCATATTTCTCAATTTTTGGGCTTTGTCACTTGCCCTTGAGGCTCTGAGTTCTGTTTCCCTAAAAGCCCCTGGTACTGAGAAGACACAAGAGAAATGTTGGTAGGGTTGCTTTTTATGCTGTCATGAGAGCAGCGAAGATCAAGAAGGGTATATGGCATCACCTAGGAGTTTTTTCAAACTACGCATCCTCTGCTCCCAAAAAGGGGCCCTGGGTCCTGGCTGGGCATCTCTGCCACGGCCAGGGCAGATTCCGACAGAGAACCCCAGGGGCGTGGGGCAGGGGGAAGGCTGGAGAAGATCCGACACAGTGAACAGAGAGGAGCGGGATAAGACCACCCAGCGGGCTCAGTGATGGAAGGTTCCCAGGTCTTGGTGATTAAAGAAAACGGGAAACATGGGATAGGAGAGCAAAACTGTCCACACTGGATTATTCTATTAAATTTTTAAAATCACGATTCTATTTTTCACATATGTCCTCCAAAACACAGTAAGCTCCTCCCTGCCGCTGCAAGCTACAGAGTCATTTGCCCCCCAGCTCAGTCGGCCTTGACACGCTGAGTACCACCGCCAGGCAGACGTCTGACAGAGCAATTCGGGGCAGTGGAACACAATGGCAATTTCAAAACTGCAACTCCCTCCCAAACAACGAACGTGGCTCTCGCTGCACTAAACCACGTGCAGTGCTTAAAAAGACCAATACCAAGGACACTGGCAAGACTATGCTGATATATCTGGCAGGGCTTTCTGAGGGAATTTGGCCCTGTGCCAATGAAAGGGCCAGACCCAGATTCCTCCCCCAAAAGACAGCAAATTTGAACCACTTCAGAACATCAGAATCAAAAGAAAATTCAAGTGTCCAAAATTAATGTCTTCCTCAAACTCTCCAAATACAGTTCCACTTTACACTGACATGAACGTAGTATTGGCTCTGGCGGGTGTGCCTCAGTGGACTGAACACCAGATTCCAAAGCCAAGGGTCGCCAGTTCGATTCCCAGTCAGGGCACACCCTGAGTTCTGGGCCAGGTCACCAGTAGGGGGCATGCGAGAGGCAACCACACACTGATGTCTCACTCCCTCTCTTTCATTCTCCCTTTCCACTCTCTCTAAAAAAATAAACAAAATCTTAAAAAAAAAACCAACATGGTACTTACAAAGCATGCTGACACACATCGCTAATTTGCGACTTAAAACCACCTTGTGAAGTCTTGAGTCCCACACTGCACAGACTTCAAAGACTAAGGACGGAGAAGGTCAGGTTTCCCCAAGGTCACGCTGCTAACCTACAGAGGCAGAGTCCTGGCTCCCTGGGTTTTTAACCCAGAAACCCCATTCTCGCTGCCTCACAACACGGCCACCTCATGCCATTTCCTGTCCCAGACAAAAGACTGAGTGAGACCCAGAGCCTGGGAGGCTTGCTCAAGTGTCGCTTTCAAGTTGACACTTGATCTACAAGGACAATCTCAAGTGCTTTCTCCTCCAACTGAACTGGCCTAAATACGATCCTCCTTGGAAAGGAAATGGCAAATGATGCGATATACAGACACGTAATTTCTTCATCATCTGGGCAAAGAGGGAAAAAAAGGGATTCTACACAGTTAAATGTCTTTCCTGGTGAAGAGATTGAATTCCCTTTTATTTCCCTTTGGAGCAAATTGGCCTGGAGACTTTGTTAGTAGCAAACATATGGAGAGTGTCAGCTTTCAAAGTTCAGCTGCATTAGAGGAATTTAGATGTAGAAGGAGTGAAAATGACTCTTTGGGTGGAGATCAAGTAAAAGTTTTATTTCCTCCACCTCTGAAAACCACACACCAACACAATGAGTGCGGTAAAAGAATTATGTAGAGACTAACTCTAGGTTGACTTCCAACCATTCAAACACACGCCGAGAGCTGCCCTCCTCCTCCTCCTCCTCCAAGACAGCAAACCCTCCCCCCTCTGTCCCCCCACCCCACCTTCCTCCTCTTTCCCAGTGGTAAAATCACTAGGCTAGAGCAGTAAAACAGGGCCAGCTGGTGTGTCTAGTTTATAGCAGCAATGTACAATCACTTACCTCTCCAATTTCATGTTCACGGAGAACAAAACTAAGTGTGTCTGTTCTGGGCCCCGCTACCAACCGCAGGTAGAGTGGATGTTCCCGGTCGGAGAGCTTGCAGGCGTAGACTGAGTAAAGAGACAGGTCACAGAGAGAGCTCTGAAATGTTCCTCCACCACACACACCCGCACCATCCCTCCTCCGGCCCAAGGCAACAGCCTCCCCCTATTACCAGTGGCCCACAGTGGAAGGAAATCTATTCTTTCTAGCTGCACAGTATGAACTGTGCCTCGACCAAAAAGGAAATAATTCTTCATGAGTGAATTTAAATAGGTATTCGTGCCCCACATGGCTTATAATTAATTCTGCTCCTCCCTGGAGAAAGCAAGAAACTTAAAAAAGACTCTGCAACCCCCTTTCAAAACCATAAAACTATACCATCCAAAGAACATGAAATCAGAGCTCTAGGAGCAAATCTCTCTGCAAATTAATTTAGAATAAGCAGCCACAAACAAACTAGGCAGTCGGCGTTCAAGCTCTGGAGCCTTCAGCCGCAGCTCAGCGTGTCCCATCAGACGCAGTGCTGGCCTCGCCTGCAGTGTTACGTGCTTGGCCGGCCATGAAGGCACTATTTCAGCAGGAGGATTGTACGGCTAAGCCCAGGTGAGCCGGCAAAGAAGCCGACAAGATAAAAATGCCATCTGAGCTTATCTACCTTATGTTGGCACTTTCTAGGTACAACTGCATTGTAGATGCTGATTTCCCTACAGATGGGAACTTGCCCCGCTCACTGAGCCTGTGGACTTGAGGGTGGAAACCTCGGTCCATTCAACCTTGTATTCTGCAGGGCCCAGCCCAGGGCATGGATTCAAAAAATGTACACACTCTCAGCAACTAGCTGGCTTTCGTCTCCAGGCAACTGAGGGCATTCCTATCACGTCAGGTCAGTGCTGCCTTCCCCTGAAGCTGCTTTAGGCTTCACCCAGGGAAACCAGAGGAGGTGAGTGGCTGACTCCTCACACACAGACACAGATGCCATTTTCAAATGAGCACGTGCACAGTCCATCACCCCAAGCGCTGACTGTTGTTCTCCATCACTGGTATCCATTTCTGCTCGAATACCTGACCTGGAACATCTCATTCTGTTTCATGCAGAAATTTACTATTCTCTTTCTATCCACTGAATGTGGGTATCGAGTTCAGCCAGGCAGACCCCAGATCACAATGTTACCCACCCACTGTGAGTGCCTCTGGGGGCTGCAGTGCCCCAGTGTGATGGCCAGAGAGACAAGCTAAGGAAAGAGAAGAGCCTCGGGCTGTGCCAGTGACATGAGTAAATGTGAGATGTGCGGCAGTACACACGGGCCTCCCCGTCCTCAAGGCCACCAGGCCGCTCCATGTGCAGATGCACATCTACCAGGGGACGTGCTCCTGCAAACGTCAACCACAGGAGCATCCTCTTCTGTCCTAAAGAGCACTAAAATCAAAGCTACCAAAAACAAAGCAAATCAAAGCCACCCCTGTGCACAGAAAAGCCTTCCTCATGTGGATGCGTGTGAGCTCTTCATATGCACGACTGTCCAACTCAAAAAGGTGGACATCCAGGCGGCATGTCACGATCACCAAGGCTTCCAGAGTCCGTCCCTGGCTCCGCTGTAACTGCCAGAGATCACACACCCACTAGCCTGCCTTCTGCTAACGAGCACAAAGGACAGATCGAAGCAGAGACCGCTTCCCTTCCAAGCACAGCATATACCTTGATCCTCCCTGTGACAGCGCTTGTAAAGTGCAAACTTGGCAGGGCTCTCGGTCACCAGGAACTTTTTGAGCAGGGCCTCGATCACTTCCCCAACGGTGTTCGTGCTGCTGATGTGGAGCGTGTTCATACAGCCATTGCTGCTGGGCGCCGGCTTCCCGGAGTCCAGACAAGTCTGCGGAGGTTTGCAGAGTTCCATCTGCACTTTAATGAAGCCAGTGTAAATCCCATTTGAATTCTGAGGCAGGAAGATAAGCACACACTTAGCTGGGCTGCCGGTGGCATTTTAGGAAAGGGTAATATCCAATCAAAACAAGGAGATGAAACTATTGTTGTTGTTGTTGATGAGAGAGAACAGTACAGACAGACGGACAGACACCAACTTGTCCAACTCATTTATGCATTCACTGGTTGCTCCCTGTACGTGCCCTGACCTGGGATCAAACCTGAAACCTTGGTGTATGGGGGCAATGCTCTAACCAACCGAGCTACCCAGCCAGGGCAAAAACACTCTCTCGTTCTTTTCTTTTACAGCTCTGTGACAGAACTTCACTAGAGACTGCCCCTAAGGGAATGACCTCTGAGGGAGGTTAGCGCACCCCAGCAAAGTGCTTCCAGAGGCAAGGTCTGTAGGGCAGATGTGGCCACAGGAGATGGTCTCCTAACACGGTGCTGACCGAGGTCCAGACTCAGGCCTCTGAAGCTGCATGTGAAAGGTCAGGGCCCACAGGCGAGGTCACAGTCTGCTGGAGCAGATGTAGCCAAACTACGGGGCTCATTAAAGCCTGGGGGACAAGTCTAGGCTGGCTGCTCAAAGGAAATGACAGCTGTAACGGATGACCAGCTATCACATAAAAAAGGAAGGTCACAATTAGGACTTTGAAATACCTAAGTCAGCAAGGAGTAGGCAGTAAGAAAACAAGCTGTTTCCAATCCTACTGGCCATTATCATATGTACCAGATTGCCAATTTCACTGCAACTCTTTCACATAAATGTATCCCATGTAGCACAGAATACACAATGATGCATTTCAGGCACTTCAAGCAGCAGTATTTTTAAAATAAACTCAAGCTACAGGGTGAAGTACAGATACAATATAAGCACTGATCTTTTTTGTTTTAACATGGTATTTATGTCTCCTTCCATGTATGTATTTTTATTAGCTTTGGTGAACTATCACTTTTATTCCAAAAAATGCATATATTTGCCCTGATCAGTGTGGCTCAGTTGGCTGAGTGTCATCCTGCAAAGTGAAAGGTCACTGGCTCGATTCCTGGTCGGGGCACACACCTGGGCTGCAGGTTCCTCCCCGGACGGGATGCACACGAGAGGCAACCGGTCCATGTTTCTCTCTCACATCAGTGTTTCTCTGCATCACTCTGTCCCTCCCTTCCCCTCTTTCTAAAAATAAATGAAATCATTTCTTTACTGCATATATTTAATATATACAATTTGATGAGTTTTAGCACCTGTCTTAAGTTATGGCTGAATTGCTATTCCACAGTTGCCCAAAATAGTAATAACTGTCTTGTCTTCACCTTTTATTTTACATTCTGTACATTTAGAAACAATTTTATTGTAATGCTTTGTCTAAATAAACCCTCAGGTATTGTGTGAAAATGACACAGTTAAAGGAGGACCTTAAAACCCTCCTTATGGCCCATTATTTCCCTTCCTTTCCACAGATCACTTCATGATACTAACTCACTTGTTCAGTGTTGTGGAAAGTATTAAACGGGGCTCAAATTTTTCATCTATGGGACAGCATGGAAGCTTGCATCTGTTTTAGTGTCCAAAGGAGGGGGCTGGGATTGCTCTACTTGGATGAAAACTGTTTGAAAGGAGCAACACCAAGCTGGAGTAACAAAGCACAATCTTGAGTTCATCTGTCCGCTCCCCTTTTGGGCAGAGGCCCACGAGGGAGGGGTCCTGTATCTCAAGGGCTTATATTTAAAAGCTCCTACCCGGCCCGGGGGCACAGAGCTCAGTAGGTCTTCTAAACAGGTCACCCTGTCCCTTGCTGAACTCTTGTCAGTTCAGTCAATAGACTGAGAGGCAGGGGGTCCAAGGGCCTTGAAAACTGGCACCAAGGGCTGGCAGGTGCCCGAGCAAAGTCACCAAGTGTGTGGGGGAGGTGGGGGCATGTGAGGCACACATGGCCAGCCCAGTTTAGTGGAACACAAAGGCTCCAGCTTTGCCGGCAACGCTCCTTGGCGCTCCTTTCCGCTCCACGAAGCTCTGGGCTCCTCCTGCTGAGCCCTCACCCCCAGCCGAGCTTCAATCAGTGTTGGTACAATGTTGCAGGGCCCGAATCAACAATGTGTAGGAAGCTGAATGTTACATAGTCTTACTCCAGACAACCAGCTGAGGAAAGCCTGAGTTCAATTATATTCTACTCCACTGGCACAAAACCCTTTTCCTGATACTTTCAAATTTATGTATACAAGATAAAGCGTAAGTGAAGGCCTCCTTAGAATCTGAGTTACCATCCATATGCTTAACAGGCAATGATTATACTAAATGCTAAACATCTTTGGGGTGGGGGCAGTGAGGGAGGAGGCACAAAATCTTTTAAAATAAAATTTAACTTCATTTAACTGATTTTGAAGGTATTGTAAAGGTATTTCAAAATACAGCTTCAATTTGAAAGATGCAGAAACATTTTCTTGTCCCACAACATGTTGGCCATTAACCATCTGCAGTGTTGATTCAGAGATTTTTAAAGCAGACTGTAGCAGCAGCTACTTAGATCTGTCTTCAGACCTCTGTCAGCTAGGGAGTGTTACCGGTGCTTACCAAGGTCATCTTCAGCTTGTCTGTGACTGCTAAATTGTAGTTGTGCACTTTCTCTTTGATTTCTTCTTTGCTGAGATAATTGTGCGTTTCCTTCTCTTTCTCCACATCCTGGAAGAAAACAAGGCATGCCACACATGAGCAATCGTAGAAAAAAATACAGATAAGCCAGAATTCTTGACATATGAGACCACTATGACTAACTGTGGAGCACTTTACCTTGAAACACACACACATGTACTTTCTCTCTCACTCTGACACACTTCCCCCTGTCAGCCCCCAACTCTTACCCACAACTATGGATCTCATCCCTCCGGATTGCAGTCTTCCTGAGGGATGTGTCAAAAACCACTTTGTCGGCAACTACAAAGCAACACTTCATTAAACATTATTTTGCAAAACTGTCTTTGCTAACTTTTCCTTCTGCAAAACCACGATTGCCTTAAAGTACCTGCTAGATTAGCTATTTCCATTTTAAACAATATTTAAAGACATATAACAAAATGCTCTCGTTAGCAAATTTTATGACCTCGATGGTCTTAGGGCTTTATAGTATTATACAGTCGTTAACAAAGTTAACTGGCACTAATCACTGATCTGTCAAATTATACACAATTACCAGAAGGAAATTTATTTTCCACATGAATCCGCATGTCAAGATGCAGTAGCCAGACTTCCCCTACCCGCCCCTCCCAGCCCCACCCCTGCCTCCCCACTCCCTCTCTGCCGAGAACAATACTGCTCTAATCACGGTGAAGAATTCACATGATTTACTGTCTCTGAGAGCTCAACCAGCCTATGACATGAGGTAAAGGCTACTGTGTGACAGATGGCCAAGCTACGGTGACCCCAGGAAGCTAGGTTTATTAGGGGCATAACTTGTACTGCATTTGCCTCTCCCAACAATTTAACAAGTAGGTGCTGTCAGGTGAGATGAAGTTCTAAGAAGTAAATCAACCTGCTGATAGAAACCTAACTATTCTGCAGAAGTGGTGGAACTCATCAGATACCGGGCCTCAAAGTAACTCCAAATGCTTACTGAAACCACTGGTACTTCCACAGGGGGTCCTCACTGTGTCCTCCTGAGGATGAGCTAATTAGCACCCACTTATTACAGGCAGGGACACTGAGACTTACAGAGGCCAAGAGGCTTGGCTGGGGACAACCAACTAGTTAGGAGACCACATCAATTTTTACCCAGGCCCTCTATGCTGCTCCCACTAAATCGAACAGGTACCCATTGTCCACCCCCCCCCACCCGCCGTGGGCGTCTGAAAACTTAAAGGGTTGCCTGATCAGATTCCAACCAGGGTGGCAACTCAGAAAGGATGAAGGGACCCAACTATCTTCAAGACAAAAAGAGGAAGAAGCGCAATTAAAATCAAATGATTTACCCACACAAATAAAGCCTTTGACGAGGTGCCACTTTCCCAGAGACCACACCACACCATCCTCACCACGGGGGACCCTCCAGGCGGGCACTGCCACCCCGCCCTGCCCCTGCCAGCTGGGCTGCACCCACACACGCGGAACGGCTACTTCTGAGCCCGCACAGGCCCTGGAAGACGGTAAATGGCTCCTGATCCATTCGGCCTGCAGTCTTTTGATTCCAGACCCTGAGATGGGTGTGCTGACTATGAATTATCTCAGAAACTATTCCATTTCCGTGAGGTCCTGAGGAAGTCTGGCAGCCCCCGTGGGAGGAAACTCGCGGGAGGAGCATCGGCACAGACGGGAGGGCCCTTCCCTAGCCCCAGGCGGCCTCCCGCGGGGCGTTCTACCTGCCAGTGCGAACCCCCAGGCCATCTTTTTTTACGGTGTCATGGGGTTGGGGGGACTGCCGATTAAAAAGCCTTTTCGGCAGCTTCAGCGTTTCTTTCCAGGGAAGTTTAAACACACCCTGCACCTCTGCTTGCCCTGCTTCCGCCCCATCTCCGAGGCACAGGTGCGACACTGCAGGGCAAAGGGGCGTGGATGGACAGTGCCCGAGCCAGCAGGACCCCGGCTTCCTACCCTCTCTCAGGCCGTTCCCTCGTCCTGAAGGTGCTCCCTGGCCCAACTGGGTAACTTCGCAAAGAGCTGATGCTGTCCTCACTGGTGTGACCGAGGGGGCCAGATGGTTCCATTTAAGGAATCATAGACACCGAAGACTCAAGATTTAAAGCCTTACGAAATAGCTAATCACATGAATGCTGTGGCTTATATACACCCTAGGGGCTTACTACTTAAATACTTAAGTAAGAAGCCAGAAGTCTAAGAATGGCGAGGAGAAGGGGTGAGGGGGAGGTTAACAGCAAACAGCAGGGTCGAGTGGTCAGCTTGGGCAGTCCCTTTTTAAAAATTAAGTTTATTGGGGGCAACATAGGTAGGTAACATCATATAAATCTCAGGTGAACAACCGTATATGCAGTACCTGTATACGCAACCGTGTGCTCACAACTCAAAATCTAATTTCCTTCGGTGCCCATGTACTTGACCCCCTCTACCCTCTTCAGCCACCCCCAAGCCCCTCCCCACTGTTCCCATCATTGTTGTCTGTACCTATAAGTTTCTTTTGTTCATTTGTTGCCTTTTGCTTTATATGCCACAGGTGAGTGAAATCACACGGTTCCCATCCTTTTTGGTCTGACTGACTTCACTGAGCAACAGTGCGATCAGTTCTTAGCTACAAGTCTGGCACATGCTTACTGGACGGAGCGAGGCCCCGCACAGCGGCCTTGCCAGGAGCCCGAGGACAGTCGGAGGAGCAAGCCGGCCTGGGAAGAGGCGCTGCCTCTGGCTGCTCCGCACCCGGACAACAGATGGACACATGCTGTGTAAGGACGCTCTCGCCCTCTCCTGAGATTAAAGCCCCAGGAGGAGCTCTCCCAAGGCTGAACCCTCACTGTTAAAACACCAACTGGAAAGTAAATCTCAGAAGCAACTAAAACCTAAAAGGCTGTGATCCTGTATTTTTTATTGAGATACAACTGACACGTAACACTGTATTCATTTTAAGTGTACAGCATACGGACTTGATGTGTGTGTATATTGCAAAGTGATCACAATAGGCTTAGTTAACACCCATCACCTCACAGTTATAAATTTTTTTCTTGGGATGAAAACTTTTAAGAGCTACTCTCATAGGACCCTGTAGTTTTAAGTCAACTGATAACAGCATGTGCACACCAAGGCCCGCTCACCGAGCAGATACTCGCTGAGCTTCCAGGAAGCACCGGGCACTTGCCTGGGTGTGGGCAGCACCTCGGCCCTCACGGCACTCACTGCCCGGCACAGAGTACAAGTGAGGACCGGCCCGGAACAACTAACCCTGGCTCCTCTGAGTGAAGGGGTCCAGCCACGGTGGGGGACGGGGGGACACAGGTGTCACAAACTCAGGCCCTCGAGTGGAGGTCACAGGTTTCCTTCAGCATCGGAACTGGAGAAACTCTGGCCGGGTGGTTGTCAACCCACGTACCAAAAGGCTGTGGGTTTGACTGTAGATCAGGTCATTTACCGACGTTGTGGGTTCGATCCCTGGTTAGGGCACCTGTGAAAGGCAACCAATAGATGGTCCTCCCTCACATCGACGTTCCTCTCTCCCGCTACACTAAAGTCAGTGAACATGCCCTCAGGTGAAGATGAGAGAGAGAGAGAGAGAGAGAGAGACCGACCTCCTTTCCTCTCACACGGGGAAGAGTCTGCCTGCCCGTCCACCGAACACGAGGCCTTTGGGATGCAGCTGTCCCGGCGGGAAGGAGGTGAGGCACCTGGAGCCAGAGGGAGATGTAGGTGCACTGGGCACCAAGAAAGCAAGCCCAGAAGAGAGGGTGGGGGGACCTGTGTGGCCCTGGCTGGTTGGTTCAGTCGGTGGGGGTGTTGTCCCGTACACCGAAAGGTTGTGGGTTCGACCCCTGGTCAGGGCACACGCCTAGGCTGCGGTTCGATCCCCAGATGTGGTGCAAGCAGGTATTTCTCACACATCAAGGTCTCTCTCCTCTCCCCTCTCTTCCTCCCTCCTTCTCTCCCTCCTTCCTTTCCTCTCTAAAATAAACAAACATATCCTCAGGTGAGGATTAAAAAAAAGAGAAAAACCCACAGGGTGGAGGGCGTGGAACAGACAAAGCAGCACAAACAGAATGTTTCATCGTGATGTGAGAAGAGGAAATGGCACGGGGTGCAGCCGACCGTGAACCCTGGGTCATTGTTCTCGGCAGCCCGGGAGGGCACGAGGCCACGCCCAAGAGGGCTCGTTTGGGAGGCTGAGGTCACCTTTTTTTATAAGCCACCTTTCTTTTATATCCCCAAAGCCTTCAGCTTCTCAGAGGGAGGGGTTCGTCTACGCAAAATTACAAACCCCAGACTCTTCGCCCAAGTTTTCATCCAGCCAGCCCGAGGGCTGCTCTTGGGTTAGCCTGCGTTCCTGGGTGGGGTCACACGCTGCTCCCCCACCCCCAGTGCGCTTTCTCACAAGGGACACACCCTGCCTTGCAGACACCCGGGACGCTCACGCGACAGGGCCCGATCTCACGTGCAGACAGCTCACGAACCAGACCTTCCCGGGACATACCCCTACAGACAAGGGCGAGGGGTCTGAGAATTACTTATGCTCTTCTTGCTAACTTCTCTGTAATTCTGAAATCCTGTCAAAACCTTACAAGATTAAGGTTAAAGGTATAGCAACAGCAAAAGCAACCAACCAGCCAACACAAAGCCACTGGCAGTGCCTGTGTAGCAGGAGAGCAAGCGAGAGGACGAACGTGTCCCGTCCGCTCCCTCCACTGCTGGAGGCCGCGGACCCTCCGCATTCAGCTGTGTGACCAAAGGCAAGTAGGGAGTCTCTCTGGGCTGCCGTTTTCTCATCTCATTAAATGTGCAAACCTTTACATACTTTACTGAATGATCAGGAAAATATAATACAACCTACTATTTGACTACTTACTGAGGGCCCACTGGCACCCGGCTCTGTGCCAACACTGTCCAGTCTCTCTTCCTCCCACCTTCCCTCGGCCGACAACCTAGTCAAGTCTGTCTTACTTCCACCCTTCCACCCGCTTTCGGAGTTGTTTGTTTGTTGTTTGTGTTGTCTTTAGGATTTTGCACTACAGACCTCTTCAAGAAATAAGGCTACT